TCATGTGTTGGACACAGGAAATTCCAAATGAGAAAAATCAAAGTAACAAATGGTGTCATTTTTTTATTTTTAAACAGGTTCACCAAAAAAGACAAAGTTACAGTGTTTAAAGTATACATTTTTTGATAATTCATATTTTTATCGACAATTATTTTTGGCATTTGCAGTTTGTTTCTGTGAATTATTTCAGACATCCGTAGGGGTGCATGCGCGAAATTAAAAATGAACACGATTGTAAACTATTCTGGCCTCTACTTCATGTAAAATAAGAATAGCAATAGTGAAACTCACGTAATAAACGCTTTTGTTTAACATAAACCGTTTGAGGTACCTATTTCGAAATAAATGGGACTGGATAAGAAAAAATCTTTATTATTCACATAACATTTCTAATAGCACACATATTTAAAAACAATTAATCATATCTTTATAAAATTCCCAATGAAATACCTACATATATACGAAAAATACAAGTATCACAAATTGAAAACAATAATTTTTTATTGATCCTTTATGTACATGACAAGTCAAAATATTTTAATACTAAAATATACAAACAAACCTTAGGGTTCGGGTTCTTTACTATTACTATTAAGAATGCCAGGATTACATTTAAAGGAGAAGGATGATCGTCTAATCCACCTCTATTTCTTACTTGGAAAAAAAGTTTTCCAGACAATCTTGATTGAGTTCATGGGTGCATATGTAAGAATTTTTTAATTGTTCTTTTAACATATCAAATATTCATGTCTACTTCTAACTTTTCCCAAAAACCAACGTTCGAACTTCCGCAATTACTCACACATGCAACAACATTGAACTTTATCTCATGTAACGTTTTTATTAGAGAATTTAATATATCTGGAATCATTTTTTGATCAAAATCAATATAAATAGGTTGTTTCCAATTGGAAAACAATCCCCGTACCGAAACATACTGCATGTAATTATGCGGACCTAAGATTCTGTCGTTATTAACACGGTCTAGGACGTTTGGGCGCAACCGTTTGGGCGCGACCGTTTGGGTGTGACCGTTTGGGCGCGGCCGTTTGGGCGCGGAGACGTTTGGGCGCGGGGACGTTTGGACGCGGGGACATTTGGGCGCGAGCTATTTGGGCGCGGGGACATTTGGATGCGAAGAAATTAAACACATATTATTACGAGTACTATTACTGTTTTATTTTCTAAAAAAAATATATATATACAATTTTATAGAAACTAAATTTTAAGCAGTCATTTTGTAATTGTATGAAATTCCTCTTAAAAATTCAATAATAATATTCCTATTATTTGCGCCATGATCATTATTGTAATCGGCAATCATTTTTTTTATTCTTTTATCAGCATGGATAAATTTTTGTTTTTTAGGTGTAGGCTCATTTCCCGCAAGTAAGTGCTCATAAGTAACATCTCTCCCCCGTTGGACAGTTTTCAGGCTGTTGATGAATTTCCAAATGGTTGGATGGTTCATCGACAGCTCTTTTTGTAGCCTTCTGTGTGCTGCCTCTGCGTGGTTATTTGTCCTATCTGTGTCTGTCAATACCCGATAAACTGATTACATTTTGGGCAGAGTCAGAACATCTGGGGAAGGGGTACCATTTTTATATTTTATGGAATATATCTGTTATTTACGTTTGCAGAAGAAAGTTCTTCAAATAAAAGTTACTTATATAAAAAATGTCTATAATTTTTATCTTATAGAAAATTTCTCTAAAATAGACCTTATTCGAGATATTTAAGAAAATGTGTAAATTTCGAATTTTGAAGAAAACTCAAAAACGGATAAAAGAAATAACATTAAATTTTAAACTTAAGTTTTATTTCGGCCTGAGGTAAAATGATAAGATTTTGGACAAAGTCGGAACATCTGGGGAGTACTTTATAGGAGGTCGTTTTTATATTTTATGGAATATATCTGTTATTTATGTTTGGAGAAGAAAATTGTTCAAATAAAAGTTACTTCTAATATTACTATCTATAATTTTTGTTTTAAGCCAAATTTTCCTGAAATGGCCCGTATTCGAGAAATTAGACAAAATGTGCAAAATTCTGATTTTTAAGAAAATTGTTAAACTAAAAGTTCTAAAATGGACCGTAATGGAAAAATTGGAGGAAAAGTGCTAAATTTAAATTTTTCAGTATTTTCGTTTTCAATGAATATCTATAGAAAAATGTTTCGGGTTAGATGTATGTGGAAAATGTATATATTTAGTTTATCCTCGCGCCCAAACGGCTCCGCGCCCAAACGTCTCGGTGCCCAAACGTCTCGGCGTCCAAACGTCCCGCGCCTAGCTGGCCGCGCCCAAACGACCGCGCCCAAATGTCCGGCTCCGTTATTAACATCATACTCTATTACATTTTTCACCTTCATTTCATCAAAACTTAAAATAACAGTTTCTCCTTCCAACTTCATAAATTGTAGTACACTGGTTAAATTTCCATTTGAAAAATGTAATGTATTTGCCCATCGCCTTAGAGACGACAAACCAGGAAGCGGAAAATATAATTGTTGCTTTGCATACAGACGCAGGTGATCTAGTTTTGAACCTTCCTATCTGCTCATGAAGCACATGATTTCTTTTATGTCGGGATTGGCTGATACGTCCTTGAACGAAAATCGAAGTTTGATTATAACTTCTCTAGATTTCCAGGTGGTTCCGGTGTTGCACTTATATTTAGAGATGGACAATAGCAAATCCGTAACTGTTACTACCCATCTTTAAATTCACGCGATATAACCGAATTTCAATTTTCAGCTGACTCGGACTTACCTGATATCTGTTTATAAATACGGGCCTAGAAGTAATTTTGTTTTATGAACTGTAGTAAACTAAAATTTGCTCTTTACCTTATCTAAAGCATATAAAGTAAATTTAACAAGTTTTTTTTTTTAACAATAATGTCTTAAAATTTGCATACATGCTTTAAATATAATTTATAATTATCCGAGTTATTTTTTACAAAACGCCAAATCTATGACATTTGTGCAAGAGCTTTAAAAACTTTAAATTGTAAAAACGACTAGTTATAATATAAAATTGGCGCCCAACGTGGGGGCGCAAACAATTTATAAACTATATACGCGCGGTTCTAAATTAAATCTGACACTCAATAAATACACGCTTTGATAGAAAAGAAAACTAAAAAGAAAATAATTTTCAATAAATTTAAATTAAGAATAATGTCATTAACAAAAAAAATATTTTATTATAGAAAAAGGGTGGGGTGCTTTTTAAGATATTTCCATAATGACTCTACTTTTACCAATATCTGTCATTAAAATATTATAACAATTGACATCAAGCACCACACGCTTTTCTACAATAACAGATTTATTTTTTGTTAATCACAATATACTTTATTTAAATTTATTGAAAATTATTTTCTACTTTTTAGTTTGCTTTTCTATTAAAGCGTGTTTTTTAGTTTTTAAAACTATTATTTATTTTCTACTTTTTAGTTATTTTGTAATAACTATTCTACAAATTTTTTTATTCACTTTCATTTATACAAATATACCTCCGTCTGTATATATTCATCCATATATTCAGTTTTATTTAATTTGAATTGAAAAATGGCAAAAAAAAATGGAATGGAAAAGACCTAATGTATCCCCAGAACATAGGTACCGAAGCTCATGTTTTATGACAAATATGACAAATACTGTTTGTGTACTAAAATAAAATGCACAGGAAAAAATATTTTTTCATCAACGATTTATTGCTATTTGTTCTCTTGTAAATTGTGTATTCCATCCTTAAATAATGAATGTTTTTTTGCAGAAGCAGATAATAGAGCAAAAATATCAACGTCAAAAAAAGAGTGTGAGAAGTCAATTGCCGCATGGCTCAAGAGGGCGAAAGAGCGGCAAAATAGGACACAAAAAAATCCTCTTCCCATTCAAGAACATGATTTTTTTAAATATTTAAAATAGATAAAAATTTAAATAAACATCTCTTTTATTCATTAAATATTAATCAATGTACTCTTTAGATATCCTTTTATTAGCCTATGGATGTAGTGCAGTGTATACGGGATATCCCAGGGATAAAGTTTTGGGATATCCCGGGGATAAAGTATTGGGATGTACCGAGTACGTCCCGTTTTTTAACATATATCGTCAGGATGTGCTAGAAATATCGCATATCCCGAGGATATAGACTAATATCCCATCGAATCTCCTCGGGTATCCCTGGTACAGACTTGTGCTACCTGGGATACGGTATCGGATTTGGAAAATCGCTAATCCTGAAGGTCCTGTTTAGGATAATGAGACAAACTATTTAAATTATTGCATTGTCGTCGGCCCTTGATAAGTGTGCAAAGTTTCAAATCAATCCGACGTTTTGAAGGGGGTGAAAATCACGTTCAAAGATTCCATTACATAAATACATACATACCAAGCGAATAAAAGCATGTTAAAAAGAAGAAGAATTGTACGCTGGACATTATTTGTGGATTTTTCCAATGCTTTATAAACATTTTAAGTGGATTACTCATTTAAATACAAGTAAAAATATCAGAATATTTTGGGGATAGAGAGGCCGTCCACTGATGGAAATAGGTATTTGTTTCTGCGAAAATGTTGGAACAAGTTTTGTTTTTTCTACATTGCAAATTAATTGCATGTAAAATACTGGTATCTGAGTTGTGAGTAAAGGGGTCATTTAAATATATTCCATTAATGCGTTTTAGATGGAAATAATTTTATTCTAAAGCGCACATTAAAATTTGTTTTGACTATAGGTACACTCTAGTTAATTTAGGTAAAATATACCTTAATAAACCTATGTAGGTTTATTACTGTAAAAATGTTTGCTTATTATAGGTAAATAATATCAGGACATAAAAATGCAATTCTAAAAATGTCTATATTTGGTGCCCGGAAATGAAAACTAGACAGACAAAGCGTCAGCAACTAAAAACAAAATTAAATCACTAATGTACCTACGATTTAATTGCAACATGTATAAAAATAATGTGAGCTAAATTATACAAACCTGTAATCTTTTTTCCGTATCTTCTACCCTTTTAATCAACTCTGCCGGGTTAAAACTTAGTGGTGCGACCTAAGAAAACATTTATTTTAGCTTTATTTTTATATTTATCTCGAAAAATGAATTACCTGTGCTTCTGCCATTCTTTTAAGTTAACGCGTAAAAACTGAAATGTTGTGGAACGCGAAGTGTGTAGAGAAAAGGAATATTTTTAGATCTGTAGGTGACTTTTGATAGAAGTTTAAATTTAGAAAATTGAGTTTGTTACAACTGCAAGTTGAATTTGCCTCTTCGTTTTAAATAATTGCGATGTTGTCAAATGTTCATTTTCAGTTCTAGTCTTCGATCATGTAAACACTAGATCCGAAATGCATACCCTATTCTACAGATAATATTTTGGTTCATCATCTTGAGAATATTTCGGCTAATGTTACAAAAGTTCTGAAGAAAGAAAAATTACTGAATAAAAGATGTAATGAAGACAACAAATACATAATAATTTAAAAATATATAAAATGTGACATATTATTACAGGCAGAATTATTTTAAATGGGTATAGAGCTGTCACTTTGTATAATATTTACGATATGCGGAAGTGGAAAAAAATTATTAGTGCTAAGGTCAAAACCCAACAGAAATAAGTGTATTAGATAAATGGTTCCAAATAATATTATTATGATACATGTTTATAAGTCAACGCCTGAACAAATTGGTAAATATAAAATTTCTTTTTGAAACACTAAATCGTGCTGTAGTGGTGCTGATCATATAGTCGGCGGCACATAGATAAATTTTACTATTCTACAATTAAATATCAGTACTATATATAATTTACAAACACACTTAAAAAACACAGTTGTCAAACTAAATGAACTGGAGTGGGGTAGAATGCCAATCTGCATGTTGTATCAATAGAACAAGATGCGACTCTATGGGTGCAGCCATTTTTATTGCTCATCTCACTTGTGAGTATTTATAATAACCATTCTCCAGTCCACAAGGTGGTGAATCAGACAATAACAATGTGAAATAGAAAATGGTTATTATAAATACTCCCGTGTGAGATGAAAAATAACCTGTCTGCGCCCATAGCGACACAGCCTATTGACAGTTCTTTGGTCAAACTGCAAAAAAAGTGACGCGTTCAATTCCATTACAGCTAAACGACTGTATACCCTTCGAGCAAATATGCTCGAAAATAGCATCGCATAAATATTTTATACATTCGCTTCGTCCGTCCGTCCGATGTCACGTTTTTTGTCAGCACGATAAGTTAAAAAAGGAAAACGATATCAAATTAAAAAATTTAGAAAAAGTCAAGCTCTGTACGGGGACGAAGCCTATTGATTTTGAAAAAAATCTGAATAAAAATGGAGGGTTAATAAGGGGGTTGAAACATTAAAAATCCCTAACTCAGAAATTTTTAGTAAAAATCAAGCTCTATATATGAGAAGAAATCTATATAAAAATGGAGGGGTTAAGGGGGGGTTGAAATATTCAAAAAATCCTAACTCAAAAACGAAAAATAATATCAACTTGAAATTTTTAACAAAAATCAAGCTCTATAAGGGAATGTACTGCATTAAGTTTATTACCATTATACAATTTTTGACTTTTTTCCTAATTCTAAAATTTGTTCCGAGTTAAATACTAAATACTAATAATCATGGGCGCCACCACACGAGGGCAAGACTGGATTTGTTATTTTTAATTTTTTGCCATGGCTTTCCACTATAGCCTACGGCGTTTCGTCTCTGCCCTATATGACTCCCCCTCTCTAAACATTTTTTGAACCGCGCCCATGTTAATAACATTGTAGATATAAAAAGTGTGGACATAAAAAAATATAAATTTCTTATATTTAGTTAAATGTTAAATATTGGTGAATTACATTGAAAAAGTTTCTTTAAACAATTAAAAGTTGTTCCAATTGAAACTTAAAATCAACTTGTTTTAAATATAAGCAAAACATCCAAAACAAGATCTTAAAAATGCTTTTGTGCCATAAAAACAGGAAAACGACTGTAAAGCGGTTTGATAAAATTATTTACTTTTCTTGTAACTTGGTCTGGCTTTCAATGATATATGAAAGCGTGGCAACGATGCAGAATTACGTCAACTGCGTCAAAATGTCAAAAACGTCACATCCCCTTCCCTTTCTTCTTAACCTTAGAAAAATATCAGGTTGTCAAAAATTTTTTTAAGTTGACATTCAAAAAATTAGACAAAACTAAAAGACACCTCAAGCTGAAGAAATTAAAGACCGTTTAAAGTTATGTGGAATATAGAAGTGTAACTTTAAAGTATACTAAAGTTGCAGTGAACTTTTTGTCCTTAACGACCTTTGAATTTCCCAATGTGGTATTACAACTGAGGTAATGATTTCTAATTCTAATAACACTAATTTTTCTAAAAAAAACTGTTGAGAAGTGCAGAAATAGTGTGAGATAAAGTGTTGGTGTTTGTCATTTATTTATGATGAAATATCACGAAATCACAATATTTTTAGGTTAGATTTAAAAAATTTTGGAAAAATACATAACAAATGGAAGAATACACAAGAGAACCATGTCCGTGGAGAATAGTAGACGATTGTGGAGGTGCTTTTACAATGGGGTTAATTGGAGGAGGAGTGTTTCAAAGTATTAAGGGCTTTCGTAATGCCCCCTCTGGAATTAACAGAAGACTTGTGAGTCCCTGATTTATAATTATAAAGTTAAAGATATTACTGATCCTGTGTTATGTTTTAATGCAGTGTTTTTAGGATTAGAACAATTTTCATGTCACATATAAGTACATTTATAAAAAATAGTATCATTTTAATTACTACAACTAAAAAACACAAAGGTTATTCCAATTTTCAAATGTAGTGATTCTCCTAGTCAACATGACTTTTGTTCTGATTATTCCATCGAAACAGCTATTGAACTAAGTAATACAATATATATTTATGAAAGTGCTAACTTAAAAAAAGTTGTGCGACCACAGAAATAATATAGAAGATCAATATAAATATAACATTTAAGCAGAAATTGAAACCTACTGTGCATAAAAACACGTCCTTGTGCCTGACATCGCAAAATAGTGTCTAGAAGTTGGAAAGGCTTTTGCCAGTTCTCCCACTTTATACACATAAATTGACAGGTTTGCGGTGGATCTAACCAAAGTGGACGTGATACATTGGTGTACAAAATTATTTTATAGATGTTAATAAATAGTTTAATAAATTATGAATAGCTGTTGAAATTTTGTAAAATTATGATTTGAATATTATAATACATGTTTAATAATTATTTATAGTCCATAAATACATGGAATTGTCCTGTTCCTCAGGTAAGAACTTATAATTACTTACTCTATGAAACGACACTGGCAGGTAAACATTACTGCAAAATTCTCGAAGCCGTCCGACGTGGTTTTACGTTTACCCCCTCTCTACCTACCAAACCCTTTCCAACTTATACTTGTGCCTCAACTTAAGCTATATATTAAACATACCTAACACCAAATAATTTCAAATTGTATTTATTTTTAAATAATATGATTTACACAGTTTATATCTATGAAATATCGCCACAAAATAACTTATTAACATTTAAATAATCAACTAATAATATTTATGTGTAATTACATTCCCAAAAATAAATACAAATATGATATTATTGTTCAACAAGCGATTCACCTACAAATTCAATACCACTTAAATCCCAAGTTTCGAGGCTGCCCTTACAGGACCATTTGTGATATTTTGGCTTGAATTTGTGGTTTATTATTTAAATCCTAGGTACAATAAAAGACGTTTTTACATTGGCTAATGAAAATGTAATCAATGTATTTAGCAGCTGTTATATTTATTGCAAGATTTATGTCTGGAAATACCTAATAATTACAATTATGTAATTAGAGAGCTGTATATTTATATACAGGCTGCCCAGTAACGGTGAGACATTATTGGTATCTGACAAAACAATGAATGGTTTTTTGTAAAAAATAGTAAACAGGTTATGATCTTTCCATCTTAAATATTCTGACAGTTATGTTATTTCCGTTTTATTTTAAATGAGATGCCACTTCTATTATTCCTCATACCGATGGAACATGAAATGTTGCTTATTTGGAATATATACCTTTAAACAACGCTCATGACGTCAGAAACTGTGTTTCAGTCAGGTATAATTTAAAATAATTTGAAAATAAACCCTATTAAATTGTACTGGCCAAGTTGGCATCAGGTATATTTTCAAATGTAGAAACTGAAAATTAACCCTATTAAATTGTACCTTACTTAACATTTGTGTTGTCACTGGTGGAGTTGGCATTGGGTATACTTTCAAATGCAGGTTTCAAGGCATTTTAAAACATAAACCCGATCTCAACGAACTTAGAAACTCTTTTGTCACTTGATATTTTAATCGTTATTATTTACATTTCTTCATTTCTTACCGCGCGCGAACCAGTATGGTTTAAAAAAAAATTAAAAACCCTACTTTAAAAATGAAGATGTTAATGATTTTCTCATAGATCTCATCTTCAGATCTTGAACTATATGGAACTATTCCTTTTCTAACAAAAAGAGAATTATAGAAATCAGGCAACCTGGTAAAGAATTATCGCTAAACATACATAAAAAAATATTTCAACGAATTGAGAATATCCTCCCATTTTGAAGTATGTTAAAAAAAATTGTTAATAAAGTGCAAAGTAGGGTGTGAAATATATTATAAAGTATATATAAGTTATATATAAATGATCTTTCATCACAGATAATAGCAGATTTTACTGTTATGTATGCTGATGATACCACATTGGCAGCTGATGCTGAATTTCCTACAGGGCTTCTCTTAAAACTTAATAATTTTGCATATCAATTTACTGTATGGTGCAAAAGAAATTCCTTAATATTAAATTCTAGCAAAACTGTTGTTATGCAATTTTTTTCAAGAAATAGGATAACTGATAATATGTGTAAAAGTTTTATGGGAGGACATTTCTTTCTCTCATATAACTAAGTTCCTAGGAGTTAGGATTGACAGCAATATGAATTTGGATTCAAATGTCAATTTTATCTGTAAAAAGTTAAACAGCGCTTACTGTGCAATCCTACAGCTAAAAAATATTTTCAATACTAATCAACTTCTTCAGGTATACTATGCTCTTGTTTATTCTTATCTCTCTTATAACGTTATCCTGTGGGGAAACTGTACAAATGCTTTAAGAGTTTTTATTAATCAAAAAAGAATTATTAGACTAATTTTCAATTTAGAAACAAGAACTACATGTAGGGATCATTTAAAAAAATATAATATACTCACATTCCCAGCCATATAAATTTTTAAAACCATTCTGTATGTTAAAAAAAATCATTCATCATTTTCTAAAAATCAAGATAATCATAATTACCCCACTCGAAACAATGAAGCAATTCGTATTCCAAAACATTCATCAGCTGTATTTGAACTCAGCCACACTACTCTGGACTTACTCGTTTTAATCATCTTCCATCTTCGATTAAAACAACCATCCCCTATAATATTTTTAAAACAAAATTAAAAAACTATTTAATAGATAATTATGTGTACAGTATAGATGAGTACCTACCTCAATAATGCTGTTGTTTATACCTGATTTATTTTAGTTAAAGTTATAGTTTTATTTATATACCTGACTTATCCTATATCATGTACTATGATCTAAAAGGACAAATAAAGATTTATTATTTTAATATTATAAAATGATAGATAAAGCCAGTTTAGAAAGTTTTATAAATAAACTGTGGAAATATCGAGAATCTCTATTTTGAATCGGAGGAAGAGTAGTCTATGCAATTTAGAATGAAAGCTGATCAAAATGAAACACATGAACGACACGCTAATGTTATTGACGACTTTCTTCAAACGTTTTCTAGTTTTCCGAAAACTAACTGGATAGTTCGAAAATCATTTCCGTCGTTAAAGCGCCTTTGTTCCGAAAAAGGTACACGCCTGTCAACATTCATCGTTCAATAAAAAAAGTGTTAGATACAAAACGCTTCGTATTGTAAGGCCAAAATATATTTAGAAATCAAAAGAGTTATATAAACAAAAAAATCATTATAGGTGAGATAACTACCAAATTAATGATTTACAAGTTTATTCTTATATTATCTATAAAGTAGGTTTGCAATGTGCTGATGTGGAATGTTATCTTGACTAAAAACTTTAAATCTTTGTATTAAATTGATGAAAACAATCGATAAATCGGTTTAGACTATATAGAATGTTTCTAGTAAGCAGCGACTAACTTTTATTATGGAACCGAAAGACCCTTTTAATTTTGAATCTTGAGAGATACAGACATCTTTGGATAATTTATATTGAAAATGGTAACATGAAATGTTTTCATAATATTCCTGGGCGAAACGCAACTGCCCCCTATTTTGCACTTCCCTGTTTAAATTTACTACTAAATCATACTAAATCAAATAAGATGTCAAGTCACAAGCAAAATCTCGTGACTATAGCACTAATGATTGCCGAAAATAAACTAATTCATATTTTATGCCATATCTTTCTTAATAAGAACTTTCGGAACCATATTTACCTTACTTGAATTTTTTTCAACGTTTTTTATCTAGAATCATCTCTAAAAATGTATGACTTTCAACCTGAAACATCATGTAAACTATTTGTTCGATCAGTAAAAAACTTGCACCGGTCCTGTCCGAGCCAGTACCGTTATGCGCATGAGCTCCGATACACTATTTTCTCCTTATGGTTTCATTTTTGATATATGGAATTGGCTTTCTATAATATTTCTATGTGTGGTACTCTCGTTCGGATTTGACACCATAGATTACAGTTTCTTTACAACAGATGGAAGCCATGGGCAAAATTTAAATATAACCTGAAGAGTGTGTTTTAATTAAAGGCAGTTTTTACTCATTGAATGAATTTCTAAATTATTTTTAAACTTTTAATATATATTTACGTACCTATATGAACATTGAATATTTTATTTATCTATATGTTTAATGTAATGCTTGCGTTGTATTCAACTCAAGGAATTTAAATTTAGTTATTTATTAATATAGATAACACCACTTTTGTAACCTGTCTCATATCATCCTAAAATGATCTAAGAGATTAATAAGAATATCTATCTATATATCTAAAAGTTGTAGAGTGAGGTTAGTTCTTAAACTTCAATATACCATTTAGAGGAGCTTTGGAGCAAAACCAAATAAATCCACTTTTTATGAAATTAGTGACTTTGTTAAATTTCATCTTTATAGACCGGCTAAATCTTTGTAAAATTTAGGGTTGAAATTAATTTTTTGAATAAATCCATTAGTATACTAGTGTAAATAACTTACTGACATTGGTTGCAGTTTAAAGGCAGTTTGTAAGAAATATTTATTTGTTTTGAGTTATTTTCCCTCTTATATTAGTGAGTTAGTTTTGATTTGAGCAAAAACAGATTAAAACCATTTTTGTTTGTAATATTTTTTACAAAAATAATTATTTAAAATTATAAATAGTATTTTCTTATAAAACAAACGAAAAAACAGTACTTTCTGTGCAATTGGAAAATCGTGTTTTCCCAAAAATTGTTAATGGTGGATTTATTCGGTTTTGTTTCAAAACTCCTTATTTGAACTTTATCCACATAAAAAGTACCTTCTTTAACTAGTTGATGAATTGTTTATATCACACCCTGAACTTATTTATTGGTAGTGATTTAAATATTTTTTAGATTGGAAGTCTGACTTCAATAAAACAAAGATCGCCTATTATTGCTGGCAATTTCGCTGTCTGGGGTGGTATGTTCTCAACAATAGACTGTGCTTTAATTCATATAAGAAAGAAGGAAGATCCCTGGAATTCTATTATTAGTGGAGCAGCAACAGGGGGTAAGTTAACAGTACATTTAATTAAACCAGACTTTAAATTTAAATATACTGTTCTTTCTTTTAGGTATTTTAGCAGCTAGGAATGGTCTCCCTGCGATGGCAGGCAGTGCTTTTATAGGAGGTGTTTTGTTAGCTTTAATAGAAGGAGTTGGTATTCTCTTTACCAGACTGTCAGCAGAACAGTTCCAGCCCCAATTACCCCCCATCGATGACCCTTCAGTGTTGAGTGAACAGCAATCGAGTAGTACAGGAAACTACTCTTTTCAATAGTTTATTTGCCAATTTGATGTATAGTAATAAATTAATGAAATCGTTAAATAAAACACCAAAGATTTGGTTTTCTTTATAATTATATGCGAATCGTTAGTTTTCTTTCTTTAGGTTAAAATTATATTTTAGTATACACCTCCACCACACTAAAGCAAGCCAATTTAAATGCATACATTTTTTTTAATAAATGTTAAATTGACAAGAAATTAAAAAGAATTTAAAAAACAGTCAATAAGTAGAACAATCGCTAGATTAATAATTATTAAAAATCACAATAGATATTGTTGATAATGGCAACAACCAGTCACAACCAGAAATCTGAAAGTGCTTATCCTGGAAACAGGCTTCTTTTTTAATTGTTTTAAGGTGAGAGTTTAATTGCATTTAATTTTAGTTACAAATGAATTGGAAAGCTATAAATATAAAGAGCTAAGATTTAGTAGACATTTTTGAAATAAATCAGCAGTTGCGTTGACGATAATATAAATAATTTAACTTTGAGAATAATAAAAATAAAAGATTAAACAATTATAAAAAATGGAATGTAGTTTTTTCAAGGAATCAAGTAAATACTTTATAATAACCACATACAATCACAATAAAACCAATTCTCAAATCGATGTAATAACGAAGAAAATGACTAAAATACAAGCGGAAATTTCAAATAATATGTGTGGCAAAACCTACTTTACCTACATTTTAGTTCAGTCAATCGTAGATAGGTTGAAGACCAAGCGATTCTGCCAGTTGGCAACAGTTACACATTATTTTCGGAATATAGTTTTTATCTTTTAAAGTCCAACCAGAATACGAATGAGTATGTATTTTAAGCATAAAATATGGCAAAATTTACTTTTCGTTTAGTGCTGCATTTGTAAACAAACCGTTTAAAATTTATTTTGTGGATGAACTAAAGAATTTGTCAGGACTCGGGAGTGTGAATTTGGCGCTTGGTATGTGCATCGTTTGGAAATAATTTTGTAGATATATGAAATAAATTAACGAATTTGTTGTGAATGTGTTGATTGCTTTTAGTTTGATTTTGTTGTAAATAAAAAGTATAAAAACACCTCAACCTTTAATAGAAAAGTTATAAAAGAATATTTTTGTTTTTGATTAAGTATTTAACTAATAGGCGTTTTTAGATCAGATAGGTATTAACGTTTTATATGAAATTGGACATACTGGGTGTCCCAAAGAAACTATATAATAAAACCTCTAAAATTAATTTTGGAGAAAATGCAAAACCAAGTAGTAGGTAATTTTGAATTTATTTCTTTGTAGATTTTGTTGTCATTTCACGGAGCTGCGACGTTATTTTGTTTAATTTTGTTAAAAACTGCCTCAACAAAAATTAGAATTATTATTAATTAGAGGTTTTGTATTTGAAGGGATTAACTTTTTTTACTATACGTAAAATATCGAGTTTTATTTAAAGTAGTAGTTTGTGAAATAAGAGTGTGACTCGGTCAATCCACTTACTAACCAACAAAAATGTTCCACAAATGATAAGTGGGTGGATACATAACATGCTCTCAAAGCGAGCAGTATACATAAGTGTAGAAGATGTGAATATAAGAGGCTTGGTTGCGAGGGGATGTCCACAGCGAAGGGTGCTATTATCTATACTGTGGAACATGGTCCTCGACACCCTCATCAGCCGCCTCAATAATTACAGTCACTACACAATGACCTGGTCATTCTGCAAACAGGGAATTTTGAGAACATACTCTGCGAAAGCATGCAAGTAGCTCTCAAAATTATAGAACACTGGTGTAAGGACCATTCATTGTCTATCAATCCTAAGAAGACTAAAATGGTCCTTTTCACAAGGAAAGGGATGAAAATAGAATTAAAACCTCCAAAACTCCTTAACACAAAACTAAACTTTGCAACAGAGGTGAAGTACTTAGGTCTCACCTTTAACAGCAAGTTAGCATGGAACTCGCATTTATAAAATAGAGTCAAAAGAGCATACATTGCTTATTAACAATGCCGCCGAACAGTGGGGCGCACCTGGGGTTTCTCCCCTAAAGTAGTCGCATGGACTTTCACGGCTATCATAAGACCTATGCTAACATACGATGTAGTTGTCTGGGTACCAAAAACCCAAAAATTAACAGCTATCCGTAAACTAGAACAAATTCACAGAACATCATGTGAGCAATAGTGCCAGTGTGGTTCAAACAGCTCACGGCGATTCTCATAGCAGCAAAAGAAATCACCAGAAACAATATCACTGGAAGGAACATGCTCATCTATACAGATAGCAGACAAGCACTACTCACTCTGAACAGACCACGAATTTATTCAGGGTTAGTACTAGAATGTCACGAAGTTTTGGCCGAAGTATCCATCAATAACGTGGTCACCTTAAAATGGATCAAAGGTCACGCCACATCGAAAGGTAACCGTCTTGCTGATTCACTGGCCAAGAAAGCAGCCAACCAAATACTCTCTGGACCTGTCCCGTCCATTGGCCTTACAAAATCAGTGTGACAGACCTAATTACAGAACATTCCCTTGTGAAATTCAAGAAAAGATGGGATGAAACAAGAAACTGCAGAGTTGCCAGGGAGCTTTTAAGTTATCCTGACAACACTGCAGTAAACTAGACAGAATTTGCGCCTAGTCACAGGCATTCTGACTGGTCATTGCCAAGTACGAAAGCATCTCCATATCATGGGGCTGTCAGAAACCGCACTCTTCAGAGGGTGCGAACAAGAAGATGAGACCATCGGGCATATCCTCTACGATTGCTTAACACTCTCATTTATTAGAAGATTTGTGTTCGACGAGCATCGGCTAACACCGGCTGATATAAGAGAAACACACCTCTTGGCGACGTTGTCAACTACATCAGATCTGTAGGCTGGCTCACGAGCTAGGAGGTGCCTATCATCTTAGGAGGGTGCACAATGGGCCTAGTGAGGCCTAAGTGCCGTGGGGGTAACCCATCCTCTACACGTTACAGATACGGTCAATACACTAGTTTTTTTCTAAGACCAACTAACGAAAATCTACTAAATTTTAAAAATAAATTAGATAAAAAATAATTTCATGATTTTACTAAATTATAAACCTGAAAAAATATATAATTAGTCCTCAATCCTGGATTTGAACCCCAAACCCTTCGCATGGTAAATCACTCGTTTTTAATTATATTCTCAAAAACTAAAAAAATATTCTGAGACAATTAGTTTGATAGAATTGCCTCGTATTTATAATTTTGAAAAATAATGGTGACCAAATATAAACTGATTGGTGGATTTCATACCGGTACAGTGTTTTTATTAGAATGGATATCAAATGTATCCTTTCAGTAGAACGAAATTGTCTACTTTTTTGTTCTCTATAGTCTGTGTAGAATAGGCGTGGGTGTAGAAAAAATATTAATGGCGTCACAGCTACGTGAAATAAATTAATACCAGGGTGTTTTATTTATTTTATAATTCCGTTTATGCCACGCACTGTATAAATGGCGGATTTACCTTGGCAATTGTCTGTAACTAATACGAAATACCTATAGCATACTTTGGTGGTACCACTTTCAGTGTTTATTTTTTTAGTGAAAGAAAAAATACATACATATGTTTAATCAAATGGTCCAATCAATTGTTTCTATAGAAAAAATCGTAAACTTTCGACTATTTTAATGACATTACCATTTTTCTTTTTTGAAAAACTAGATAAAATTTTGGAAAAGTGGTTAGAGCGAACACAGATTTAACCTTTACCTACACGTACATAGGTATTTTTTTATTATTAATAATTGACAAATGTGAATATAAAACAAAAAATGGGAATACAAGACAAATGTGAATACGAGTATTATTATAATAAAATTAAACATAAGTATGTATACTAAGAAAAATATATAAATAAGAAAGAAACGGATAGCGATTATACCGAAACTTGAATCCAAGACTCCTTGCTTCAGAAAACAACGCCCTTATCCACAAACCACACTGGCTAGATGCTTTTGTTTGCGAGACGATGTAATTATGCGAAAGCCAGTTTTATTTCATTTTATTCACACATATTTTCTGCAGCAACTACAGAATCAATATGTAGTCATATATCAATTTACTGAACGGATATAATTTTATATCCATTCTAAAATGTATTTAAGAATTTCAAATTCTGAGTAAGAAAAGTTGACAATAAGCGGCAATCGCCGGTTGTATTCTGACAATAAAATGAGTTTAATGGAATTATCGTGTTTAAATATAATTAAAAATAAGTCTGAGTGATAAATAAACTTAACATTCCTACGGCAAGCGCGTAGCTAGGTTGTTTTCTTGGTGAGTGCGCAGCGTCTTATCTTATAGAATATGGTACCAATGCAACATCTAGAGTTCATATGTGTATATCCACAAAAAAGATTGAGTTTTATAATGAAGTTTTTAATTTTTTATTAGCTAAGGGGTAATAGAAATTCACTTTACAAAAATAAAGTTTATTAATCAATAATGGTTGAACAGCTAATCATGAATGTCCCAATGCTGGTCTATATTTCCCTTTCTTCATTGTTAAAACTGCGTCTGTCCACTCATCGAAATATTAGCAGAATATATCTTGTGTCAGCGAAAGACGCACCGCATCCAAAAATACTACAGGGAGTGTCTAGCAAATATTTATGTTATAAATACTGGAAGCTAACATTTTTATACATTTATACAGGGTGTTTTAGAATAATGTACCGTAATTTTGTGGATTTGTAGATCTTAATCAATTATAAAGAAGTATTAGCAGAATATCTTGTGCCAGCGAAAGACGCACCGCATCCAAAAATACTACAGGGAGTGTCTAGCAAATATGTAATACTGGAAGCTAACTTTTTTATATATTTATACAGGGTGTTTTAGAATAAAGTACCGTAATTTTGGGGATTTGTAGATCTTAATCAATTATAAAGAAAAGCTAAATATAATTTTCTTACAAACGTTCCAGTTTTCATTCTACAGAGTGATAAAGTCAATTTCATAAATACATTTTCTAAATATCTTTAACTTAAAAATATGATAGGTAATCGTTATTATTAGTTAACTCACTATTTCGATAAATTACCATGACCCATTGACGTAGAA